ACCACTCTTAACATTTTGGTATATATCTGTTGAGACTTTTTTCTACATATCTATATTTTTTATTACTTTTTCCATAAAATACAGTCATACATATGGTTTTATACCTTGCTTTTTTCTCCTTTAACACTATATTGTGATATATTTCCAAATCAGTAAATATGTAGTTGTATCATTTCTAACATCCATGTAGGTCATACCTCAGATACTTAAGTCATTTCTGACATTTTACCAATGTAGTTAAGGGTATGATGAAATCCTTCCTCCTGGTAACATCTTTGTGAACATTTCAGAATATTTAATTAGAGTAATTTTCTGAACTTGGCCGTGCTGGCTCAGAAGTGTGAGCGCAGTGGGCGCAGTACATGGGTGTTTTCCCCGCTCCCCCCCGGGCACCCAGGAGATTCCACCTTCCAGCTCCCACCTCGGCTCTCAGGGTCCCCGTGCCTAAATCGGGCTTGTGAAGTCTGAGCAGAATTTTTCCTCTGTTAAGACGGATAGTTGTTTTATGTTTTTTTGTTTTTGTTTTTTTCTGTTGTCTTTGTCAGGTATTGGTGTCAGGTTTATGTTAACTTCTTTAAAAAAAAAGAACTTGGGAAGCTCTCTCACTTTTTCTATGCCCTGGAACAAATAAATATTTGGAATTTTTTTGCTCTTGGATGTTTTTATCATATGTATAAGACTGTCCAAGTCTAGTGCCTTTTAGGAAACCATTTTTGACAGTTTTTCAATGTTTCCATGCTCATTGGTCTCTTTAGACTTTCTTCCTACCCTGTACGTTTTGGGCAACTTAAATTTCCTAAATAAAGATTCTGTTAAGATTTTCAGATTTCCTAGCAAGTGTTTGTAGTCTCCTTCCACATCCATAACATTGTGGAAGGCTGTGTTTTGCCTTTTGCTCTGGTTAGCTTCTCCAGAATTAGTCGATTTTATTGGTCTTTTCAAAGAGCCACTTCTGGGACTTATATCTTAACTTACTGTTTTACCATTTCATGATTTTTTTCTTTTTGTTGTTATCCATTGCTTTATTAGTGGATACCATTTCAACTTCTTGTTTAATAATAAATGTAGTTACTAGCGATTGTAAGGCTATGTCATTCCTCCTGAATTTTTTTGCATATCCCTTACCTTTTTAGGTATGGTGTTCTAAGTTATAAATAATTTGTGATTTCAGATTTGACTATTTTTTACTGAAAAGGTATTTGAAAGTATACTTTAAAAATTTCCAGATAGTTTGATATTTGGTGGTGGTGGTGTTTTTAACATTTGTTATAAATTCCTAGTTTTGCTGCCCTCCTGGCAGAGAGGGTATGGCTTGTACAGTTTCTGCATTTTGGAGTTAGTGGCATTTTCTTGGGACTTAAGAAATTGTTAATTTTATGGACTATTCCCAGGAAATTGGAAAAGAAGGTATATTCTCTGAAGGGAACAAGAGTCAATCTATATGTATTAATTTGACCTTATTAATTATAATATTACCAGGCCTTTATTTTTTACCTGCTTGGTTCATAAAGACTGAGGAAGTATGTCAGCCTCCCCCTGCTGTTGTGTTTCTGTCCGTTCCTCTTGGGTTCCTACATTTTTTGCTTTATGTGTTTCATTATGATGATATTTGGCAGATTACCATTTTATATTTAAGGGAAAAATATTTTCCTTTAAAGACTTGTATACCTTTGTGAATTTTACCCTATCTTGTCATAACAAAGTTATGTAGAAATACATAGTTCAGTAAAATGTTGGTGTCTGCTTTTAAGTCAACAAAAATCTTTCCGAAGCCCTTTGTGTCTGGAGATGTTTGGCCCCTCCTGGGCTCCCCGGGGGCCGCTTCCTGAGCCACAGCCGGACAGGGAGCAGGTTGAGGCATATAATACGCCTTGGAGCAGAATGAGGGCTCCGGAGTCCGCCAGCATTTCCAGTCCCTGCTTTGGGGCGGCCCCGGGCTTGGGTGTGCTTAGGGCGCACCTGCCCTGGAGCTGCTCGCATTCTGCCTCGGCGGGGCCGATGCTGACTCCAAAGTTTTTCTCAAGCCAAGGCACTTTTCTTCTGCAAAACTAGCTTTAAGAAGGCAGCAGACAGTGTGTTCAGGGGGAAGCTGATCTCAGACTCTTCCACTAGAAAAGATTTTTCCCGAGCTGTTTGAACAGACCATTTACACGGCAAAGTCTGTGCCAGGAAGAGAACCAGCCTTCCCCAAACACGTCTAGGGTGTGTGCGTCTCAACCCACAGCTCAGGAGTGTGAAAGGCGACTTTCTCCATCTTCTCGTCATTCAAGTTCATTTCTGTTTTGAGCCCCCATTCTACTAGACTCATGCAATCTGATCTCAGTCAATTCTGGGACCCCCTTTCCTCCAGATGTGAGTGTTTGAAGGCTCACATAGTCCCAAGGGGTTAGAGAGGAGGGGCCCGTGTCTGCTGAGCTGTCCCCTGGTCCCCCTCCTGCCTTCCTGCCCTACTATACTACTCACTGTATTGCCCCCTGCCATGCCAACATGCTTGAAAATACAAGAATTTCTCAGATGGTTCCGCACGGCCAAAATCTCCAGGGTGCTGTCCTGGGCCCTGACTGCCTAGGCCCTCTATGCAGCCATCTCTGTTTGACAGCCAAGGTTTTGGGCGGAGGATGATTTGACTGGAAGGGGCTGCTAGATAAGCCAGGCGTGTGTTTGCACCAAGGGGAGGTGATGCTGTGGCCCCCAGTGTTGCTTGGCCGACAGTCACGTCTGCAGGCCCTCGAAGCTCACTTGTGGGTGGCCAGGCGTAGGGGCTGGAGTCTGGTGGGGAGCCCAGCCGCCCTGAAGGTCTTGTACAACATCAGGCTCCAGGGTTCTTTGGCAGGAGCCACCCCCTCTTCTTCATTACAGCCTCTCATCTCCCGTCTTTTGTGTGTGTTTTTCTAAGGAGGGGCTGCAGACCCGCTGCTTCAGAGCTATGGGCGGTTTCCAGCCACCCAGGAAAATCCCCAAATCATGCCAGTGCAGCCTGGCCTGGCAGCGTGTGTTCTAGGAGCTCCTTGTGCTAGGCAAGGTGATGCCCCTCAAAGATGTCAATTCCTGACTCGTGGCTCCTGTGAATGTTACCTTACATGGCAAGAGGGGCCTTGCAGATGTGAGTAAGGAGATGGACCTCGATGGACAGCTTATCCTGGGTGATCTGGGTGGCATCTAATCACCTGAGTTCTTAAAAGCAGAGAACCTTTGCTGGCTGCAGTCAGAAGCCAACATCATGATGAGCAAGAGCTGCGGAGATGTGATACCACGGCTCTGAAGGTGAGAGAAGGGGCCACGAGCCAGCGAACCTGGGCGGCTTGCAGAGATGGAAAAGGCGATGAAACAGCCCCTCCTCTTGAGCGTCCAGAAGGAACAGCCCTACCCGCACCTTGATATTAACCCAGTGAGACCCATGTCAGACTTTGGACCTAAAGAATGGTGAGATAAGTTGGTGTGGTTTTAAGCCTCTAAGTTTGTAGTAGTTTGTTATAGTAGCCGTTGAAAACCAGTACTTCTCATGTGAGCTTATATTTCACAGGAGTGTGTATAAGAATTGAGAACCTTGACTGTATGAACTCCCTCAGCTGCATGCTTTTACAGGGCGGGTGGTCGTTAACCAGAACCTCTTGATTCCAGCTCCTGCTCAGTCCCCGGCTCAAATCTGGGGGCGCACTGGATGCACGAACGAGAGGTAGGTCTGACTGGCCCAGCTCTCGTCTTTTGCCCCAGTACTAGCCATAGGATGCGTCCAGTCGCGGGCTGGCTGTCCTAGGACCAGGTTGGCCAGCAGGCCTGTCTCCGGATATCAGACAGGGCCATGGTGGGCTGCCCGTATAGCCAGAGCAGGGGCTCAGGGAGGCAGCGTGACTGTGTCCAGGACAAGGTGCAGAGGCCCTGCAGGAGGGAGAGGGGTCAGGGAAGACTTGGGAGAGGACGACGCTCTGGGGTTGAGACAAGGGTGGGCGCACCTTTGCTGGGCGAGGAGAGGGCTGAGGGCATCCAGGTACTTAGGCTCCAGAGGACAGGGCCGCTCGGGGCCAGCAGCAAACAGAACGGTGTCGCTGAGTAAACTACACAGCAGTGGAAGGGGCTGCCCAGGGGCAGGGCCTCTGAGGCCTTGGTGCGCCATGCCTAGGGGCTGGCCCTCGCCCGGGCGGGCTGGGGATCAGGGAAGGCCTGTCTTCAGGGGGGCAGCACCTGCGGGTGGCTCGGACAGACTGGAAGCAGGAGGGTGGGAGGTGATCCTTGGCGCTCTCCCTGGCCCTGAATTCCCGGATGCCAGAGTCTGGACTTAATCAAGACTTGCGTAGAAGTGGGGAACGGGGAAAATGAGGGAGAGAAGGTTCCAGAGAGGTTTTGATGTGCACAAGGCAGTTGGGAGAACTGTCTTTTGAAAGGGGGCCTTTCTTTGATGTCTTCTCATCTTTGGCAGCTCTTCAAAAGCAAATTCGGAAAGTTATCAGAGCCTGAATAAGTTCACTAGTATCTCAAAATACTGAAATTACAATAACCGAAATAATTTAAAACGATACCCAACTGCAAAATAAGCATTAGAAAATCCAACAAAGCTCTGATTTTGCCATTTTTTAAAATATCAAATTCTTGCCAGAGAACTAGGGTGGTGCTAAGCTTGGCCTGTCTGTGCTGGGGAAGGAGGCCTAGGGCCCAGCCACTTGACCGGCCCCTGGGATTTGGAACTGGAGCCTGGCGAGTAGTCAGGAGGGAGCATCCCTCTTTGCAGCACCCCCGGGGCCTCGGGGAGCAGCGGGGGCAGGCCAGCACAGGGCCGGGGCACCAGAGCTGGGGCGGGTCTGAACGCCGGTCAGTGGCTGTGCTGAAGGATCTCCAGCCGGGCAGGGAGGTCCAGGTTCCAGGGACTAGGGAAGGACCCAGCTGAGGCCCCTTGGCTGGCACAGGATAGTTAGGAAGCAACCGGAAGTAAGAGGCTTTTGACATTCAGAAACTTCTCTTTGGCAGCCAAGGCGGGTCGATCATCCTGCTCTGTGGGAAGCCAGGACGTGAGGAGGGCGCGCGCTTGGACAACGTTGGAAACGGGTAGGCTCCTTCGCTTGTGCCCCCTCCCCTTTCCTAATTTTAATGCAGAGCAAGGAGTAGAATGAGTCCAGCATGAGCTTTCAGGCCAATATTTGCTTAAACAAATGTTCAGCTGAAATCTTATTAAAAACTAAACCCACGCAGGCAGGGACAGCTGGGTTAAGATATTACGTTTCGTTTCCTCTAGAGAGACACTGAATCAGTATAAATAGTTCTTTATTAGGAGTTTAGATAGTGCTCAATACATAAAATATATTTCATTTAAAATATTTACAATAATTCCTGATTACAAGCAACTCATTCTGGTTACTGCTAAAATAATGTTCACATTCAAGGCTGAGGAAGCCACTGCTTGACACTCTCAGGAGGGCAGGTCCCACAGTCTGACAGAGCCGTCTAAACTGCTGTCAGAGTAAGGGGCCGATTCTAGATTGTTCATAGTGAAAAAGAGATATTGTTCCCCGGGTCGGCAGTGCTCACTGTGGGTCCTCAGGTCCCAGCTGCAGGCCCTACATCCCAGCTGCGGTCTGGCGTATGGAAGTCACCATATCACCACTCCCTTCCCCGAAGTCAGGTAAAAGCCGCAAGGGCACACAAAGGCCTGCTCATCTCCGGCTGGCCCGCCCTGTTCTTCAAGCACAGGCTTTGGGCCTGTGTCCTCCATCCTGGGGGACAGCTTAGCAGTCCCACTCGCAGGGGCTCTGCCCATCGCTGTCCCCCTCCTCCTCCTCCGAGTCAGTGGACACTCGCTTGATTCTCTGGAGCGCTGCCCTGATGCTTCTCTCCAGGTCGCTGGGGGGCTTACTGCCGGGGCTCAGGCCGCGGTCAGGGTCAGGGTGAACCTTCTTCAGTCTGACCCCCTGCCTTATGGCAGCCAGAATGTTCTCGTTGGCCGAGGCGTGGACAGAGGGCCAAGGGGGCCCTTCCCCTTTCTGGAGGAGGGTCCTGCCGCACCTCAGGGAGGCCAACACTTCGTCCATAGACCCTGAAATTGAGTAAACAAAACAAGGACTATCATAGAAATCATACTCTTTCCTCCTCCAGATGCCGGGGCATTTTTGTGCTAGTTAAAGGTGTTAGGTCATTCACCAGTTAACACCACGAGCTAAACAAATAATCATCATTCCATTAAACAAATGCTTTGCTTATCTGCCAGAAAGGTCGCCCATTACTCCCTGCTTGAATCCAGGGTAGTTTAATCGCTAATATTTCATCTTGACCCGTATGTCCCACTACTTCAGATCAATAGCAACTCACAGGTACAGCCGGGCATACCTTTTGTTAGAATGGCTATTTCAAGACACAGTTGCCATCTTCTGTGGTCCTGAAGAGAGTTATGAATGCCTGGGGTATAAATAATCTGACCCAAAGAGCACAACTTAGGTACCTCTGAAGCCGCATCTCCTCCATGTCCCTCTTTAAAAAAACAGTCCCAACAGTCCCCAGCTGCACTTCTCTGACTCGGCCTTGGGTGCTCACCAGGGCCGGCTCGTTCGGAGACGGTTAATGAAGGGCTAGGTTTCCCGACACGAGAAGGCTTAAAGACCTGCTCATAGCTGATCAGTAGCTCAGTGAACCCAGAGGGGGTGGCACCCACACACCTCTCCGCCTGGGCCGCGTCTCACGCCACCTACATTACCTGAGGCAACTCGCATGTCCTAGTTTTGAGTGGTGAAATGCTGCAAAACACAAACTAGACCAGAGTTTCAGGCCTTGTAGGCCTATAGTGAGGAGAAGCTATTTTTCACTCTGGCACCTTGTGACCCTGAGGAGGTAAAATCTTTCACCTACTGGAGCCCCTAATTTAGAGGCTTTCCAGGGGAGGCTTCAAGCTGAACAGTCATTTCTACTTCAGGATTGAAAGGCCATGTTATGGCTAACAAAGTACCATTTCACTTAGGACTTAAATCTGTAACTTGTTATTACAAATCCCTTCTAGGAGTAGTAAGACAAAGTCTCACAATCAAGGGCATTTTTTAGTGCTAATTCACACTTTCTCATTCTTTGCTGCGAAAGGAGGCTGTGTCTGCGAGCTGAACTGGGATGCCCAACACCGTGTGTGTTAGCCCTAGGCTGGGAATCGAGCACCCCCACAGAGACCCCTGCATCCCAGCTGTCCTAGGACAGGCATGTGGGCTCTCTCCATTTACAGTGTTGCAAAGGCCCTAGAAATGGGCCGTTGGGTCTCCACCTGACCTTATGGGTCTTTCACCTGCACCTGGTTCTAGGTACAGCGAACGCTTGAACTCAGAAGAACCAGTGCCCAGTTAACCGGAACCGCCGTTTGCGTTACTGAACCCACAGCCCCGGCCGGTCCCCTGCAGGCTCTAGGTGGAGGAGCTCAAGCAGTCTTGCAGACACGTGCACACAGCGCTCTGCTAGGATTTCTCCGACACACACACACAGATACACTCCGGGGCACTAGGCTCATCTGAGTCTGCGCAGATTTAAGCCAATCTCCTCACCAGTCAGTGTCTAAACCATTATCAGAACTATGAGTCAGAACTATAGCCTCCATTAAACAGAGACACGTTCATGTATTCACTGCACTACACTTGCAAAGGTAGAATGTGGCGCGGTTTCTCTTTCTGGCACTTCATTTCGGGAAGACCTCCCACGGTAAGGTGCCTCAGTCTACCCGTGAGGAGGGGCCTGATTAATGTCCGTCTACAATTCCCAGCCAATATTCTGCAACTATTTAATTCTGTACAGGACTCAGAGATTCAACAGGAAGCTTAAATCAAAGCAGCACTGAAAAGTACTCAAGTGGCAGAATATCAAACATGCACTGAAAAGTCCTAAAAACCGGAAACAGGTTGATTCTCTGAAGGCCTCAGACCCCAAGTCATGGGACCATCAAACGTGCAGAGGCGGTTTCTTCAAGACGAGTGAACGTTCATCAGACTCGGGTTTGGGCAACGCTAACTGAAATAAAAGAGCGACACTCAAGGCAACCGCTTACCTGGGCCTCCTGGGCCGTCGGCCTCCCGCTCCGGCGGGCCTGCCGGGGCCCCGCTCCCCGGCGTCCTGAGCGGCGAGCTCTGCGGCCTCGCGGCCTGAGACAGGGGCCGGGCAGGGAGAGGGGGCGGCGGGGGTGGCGGCGGCGGCGGCGGGGGCTCGTCCGGGGTCGCGCGGTGCGCTGGGTCACCGGCCGGAACACGGAGCGGGGCGGGGGTGTTCCCGGGGCCGTCCGGACACTCGGCTCTCCCGGAGGGCGGAGGCGCGGCCCGCCCGCCAGTCTCCCGGGAGCGTCCGCCCGGCAGGCTCCGGGCCGCGGGCCCCGCGCGAGGTGCCGTCGGTGCAGGCGGCCCTGGACATCCCTGAAAATGAAGAACCATCCTGAGAAACTCCCCGCAAATGTGAACCATCAAAATGCTGAAACTTCCTATAAATAAACGAACACGGAAGGGCTTCTGTGCATAGACTGTTCCAATTCACCAAGCGGCTCCTGGATTTGGACGGCCACCCGGCTACTAAATCTACACTAAAGAATAAGCATTTATGTCCTTTGATATAACGCCTTCTCTGTAATAAGGAGATGAAAATATAAATAAATGATTTTCTTCAACAAACTAGAGCAAATAGTTCTAAAATTCATAAGGAACCACAAAAGACCCCGAACAGTAGACAAAGGGTATCAGATTGCTATAGTATTTAAGAGTCTGGGAATGTAAACTAGTTTAACCACTGTGGAGGTGCCTCAAAAAACTAAAAATATAAATACCGTTTGACCCAGGAATTCCACTCCTAGGAATTTACCCTAAGAATGCAGTTTCCCAGTTTCAAAAAGACAGATGCACCCCTATGTTTATAGCAGCACTATTTACAATAGCCAAGAAATGGAAGCAACCTAAGTGTCCATCAGTGGATGAACGGATAAAGAAGATGTGGTACATATACACAATGGAGTATTATTCAGCCATAAGAAGAAAACAAATCCTACCATTTGCAACATGGATGGAGCTACAGGGTATTATGCTCAGTGAAATAAGCCAGGTGGTCAAAGACATAAATACCAAATGATTTCACTCATCTGTGGAGCATAAGAACAAAGCAAAAACTGAAGGAACAAAACAGCAGCAGAATCACAGAACCCAAGAAGGGACTAACAGTTACCAAAGGGAAGGGGACTGGGGGGGATGGGTGGGAAGGGAGAAGGGGAATAAGGGGCATTATGATCAGCACACAGAATGCTGCGGAGGGGCACGGGGAGGGCAGTGTAGCCAGAGAAGACAAGTAGTGGCTCTACAGGACCTCACCACACTGATGGGCAGTGACTGTGACAGGGCATGTGGGGGGGACTCGATAATGGGGGGAATCTAGTAACCACAATGTTGCTCATGTAATTGTATATTAATGATACCAATAAACACACACACACACACACACACGTGTATATATATATATAAAAATGTTTATAGTACAAAAAATCAGAACTTGAGTATCAAGAATAGGAAGTTGAAAAAAAATTAGTTGGATTTATTTAAAATATTAGGCAGCAATGAAAAATAAACAGTACAAAGTCTGTGAAAAGATGCAGTGTTAAATTTATAATCAGGTACGACATAGATCTATGAAAAATACCAGCAGAGCTGACTTCAAAGAGACAGTTATAACAAGAATTATTGATGTTCTTTTTCTCTAATTTTTAGGTTTAAAGTAATGTGGATTTTAAAAGTTCTGGTCTCAAGTTTGATAAAGAAAAGCCTAACCTTACAAAGAACAATTTTGGGGGGCACCCATTAGCCAATAAAACACATAAAATGTTAATAGTATGTAGCCATTAAAGTGAACTACATCTACATACATCCCAAAAGCAAAAGCGAGAAAAAACTGGCAAAGGATATATACAGTATGACACTTCTAACGTAAACACACACACACACCAAAAGTGTGATTCATGATAAACTTGAAATATTTCTGTCTCCCACTCTCCTACGTCTTTTCAGAACGGCAAAGCCGTGACAGCATGCCCCGGGCCTCCGCTGCCATCCTGTAGCCTTCAGCAGAGCATACGCCGGTACAGTGAGAATCCCAGGAACTCCGGGCCACCTGCAGGGGCCATCCACCCGCCCCGATGTGGGGACCCCCAACCACCCAAGGGTCCCCTCCTTGGCATCCTGGCAGCAGCATGCCGCTGTGGCTCTGGCCTGTTGAGTTCTGCCTCGGATTGCTGGGCAGTCTGTCTCCCCTGGGGCTCACCCAGGGCAATGCTGACAGCCCTTCAGGTATTTAAAAACAACTTGTCTGGGCTCACCAAGTATCATGTATCCCATGATTCCATTTCTAGCCTTCTCTCTCTCCTACTTACTCCTTTCCAAATGTGCCCAAATTGGCTTTGTCCCCTTCAGGGGAGGCACTTCTTGGTAAACGCAGAATTGCCTCATTCTGTGGAGGCTTCTGTTCACACATTCCACAGACTCACAAGCTGTCGGGCAGCTTCACCACTGAAGGAAACCAGATTCTCCGGGTTCTCCGGCATCTACCCGTGCCCCTTCCTACAGCCTCTGCAGTGGACGCCTCCACAGACCAAAACCCTGCTGCTCAGACCGACCTGGAGGTCCATGTGTTAGGCTTGTTTAGCGCACTGCTCCGGTCTGTTGATGGCTTAGGCAGCCTGCCCCGGCTCATCGGTCTACCCCTCCCATCGCCATATTTGAGGAGTCAGTCACTGAGCTGCTGGTTCAGGGCTCAGTGGCCGGACTTGCCTCCCTCGAATCCCTTCCTCCGCCCCGACGCCCTTCTCCTAACCAACACCCTCCGGTGAGGGCTGACCGACAGGTACCTACACTCATCTGCTATTCACGCGGCTCCCTCCGAGTGGATCCTCACACCCGGACTCACGCCTGGACCACAAGCAGGACAAGCAAGTCAGCCTCGGCAGCTGCAGTCCGGGCATGAGTATCACTGGAGAAGCTGCCCAGGCTGGAGAATCCCTGCGGTGGCTCTGGAGTCAAGGACGCCTGGCTCCATCCAAGCATACTTCACTTTATGGCACTTAGCAGATAGTGCATTTTTTACAAATTAAAGATTCAAGACTTCAGTGGACAATGTCACTGCAGACGTGGCAGAAATAGCAAGAGAACTAGAACCAGAGGTGGAGCCTGAGAATGGAACTGAACGGCTGCATCTCATGATAAACGAGCAGGTGAGGAGCTGCTCCTTCTGGAGGAGCAAAGAAAGGGGCTTCTGGAGCTGGAACCTGCTCCTGGTGAGGACGCTGTGAAGACTGGCGAAATGACAATGAACAACTTAGAATATCATAGAAACTTAATTGATAAAGCAGCAGCAGGGTTTGAGGGCTACCAATTTAAAAAAGTTCTGTGGGCACAATGTCATCATTTTATACATTTATCAAACAGCATCGCATGCCACAGAGCAATTTGTTTGTGAAAGGAAGAGTCCGTCGCCATGGCAAACCTCATCGTTCCTATTTAAGAAACTACCACAGCACCCCAGCCTTCAGCAGCCACTGATCGGTCAGCAGCCATTACCACCAGGGAAGACCCTCACCAGCAAAAAGATTACAGCCCACTGAAAGCTCAGGTGATGGTCAGCAATTTTTAGCAATAAACTATTTTTTAATTAAGGTGTGTACATGTTTTGTAGTCATAATGCTATTGCACACTTAATAGATTACAGCATCGTTAACTTTTTTATGTTAATATAAACTGGATTAGGTTATGTTAATATAAACATTTTAATATAACTGGAAAGCCAAAACATTTGACTTGCTTTACTGTGAGTCACTCGACTGCAATGATCTGGAACTCAACCCACACTAGCTCCGAGGTCTGCCTGGATAAACTTGAACCACTCGGCTGTTGAGGTGTAAAACGGTGATACCTTTCAAGGTTGTGATAAGAATTAAATGAGAGTGAATGTAAGCCTCTAGCACAGTGCTGGCATACAGTGGGCACCCAATCACAGCAAGGGTAGTAAGCGAATCAGAAGACAAGATGAAGTTAGCGCGTCATGATTCATTCACTCGGGCTTCCTGGCTGGTCTCACGCGGCCCACCTTCAGATTATTGCGGACTTTTGCCTGGGACTGGGGTGTTTTCTCTTTTGGGGACAACAGTGAACTTGGGTCTTTGTGAAGAAGTGTGGGAGGGAGTGTGTAATGAAGACAGGTTTATGTTTTATATTCAACTAGATTAATGTTATTTTTAAATATCTATTTTTACCCTATTCACTTATAATAGAGCACTTAACTATACTACATCACAACGCTTCTTTCCATTTTAAAGAATCATTTATTACAGATGCTGAGTAAGCCAGCCAGAGCTGAGAGCAGTCTGACTGTGTCTGGTCAGCCTGGCTGGTCGGCCCCACAGTGGGCAGAGTCAGCTGCTGGGTCAGCAGGGGATGGCAGGGACCCTACCGACGCCAGAAACATCTTGATATTCGAACGCTTTGGGGTTTTATCTGTATGCTAAAAATAATGGCATTTGGGGAACATTTTGTGTGTCACATTAACTGTCCATAATACATTATACTATTCTCCAAGGATGGGTGATCTTCATTTATTTCTCCCAGAAAATGTAGGTGAGGTGATTATTTCTCGAACTTACCTCTTTAAATGCTTTCAATCGTTGCAGTGTTTTTTGGTGTTCTTGGTTTACCCATTCTTTTTTCTTTTGCTCCTCTTCTTTTATCTTGTCTCTTTTCTATATTTAAATAAACATGTATTTATACATCTATCAAAATAAAAGTCATGAGGAAGAAGGGGTCCACAGCCTGACATCCTCCCCACCTGCCCAGGATGGGGGCTGACAGCTGCAGGCCCACAGCAGAGGAGCTCCAGTTCCCACAAATTTAAGCTGGTATGTCACATTTTATAAATACAAAATATTTTTCTTCAACCACTCACCATCTGAATTCTATGATGCTGATGAAAATGCCTTATACTTTCTTCAGCCTGTTGCAATCGAAGCCGATGATGTTCTTTGCATTGATCCTGGTGGAATAATACAAGTCACCTACATGGTGTTTAATATTGCCATGGGCTATAGCATAAAAGGTTAAGAAAAAAGCTCTGCATGTGGACTGTCGTGTAAGGCATTCATTAATAGGAGTTTCTGGTGTGGCTCAGTGCTGCTGTGTCCCCTTAGTCATGTATGTGTATGGGTGGATGGGCTGATTGGCTGCTTACAGGAATCAATGGTTCATGAGAAGCTGTGATTCAGTGCTTTGAGAGATGAAAAAGCAAACCCTCCAACCAAGCAGAAATGAGAGGACATAGAGGCAAGTCGCCCACTCTTACATGGGATGTGTCCTAAGAATCTGTTTCAATGCAGTTGTTTTAAACACATTTCCCCATATTACAAATAATATTTCCAGACATACCTACATAAGCACATCCAAACTACAAATACCTGAAAAAGTATATTAAAAACTATATTTCAACTATGCTTAACCATTCTTAGTATGTTACCTTTTCATATAATCATGGAGCTTTTAAAAATTAAGAAAAAAAATCACTCACCAAATCTAAGGACTGAAATGATGTGAATGTTATCTAACTGATATTTTATAATCAGCAATTCACAATAAAATAAATTTTAGAAATTTCTGTAGCTGTTATTAGAAGTTTCTACCTATCTGATTTAAGAAATATCTGTGTATATAAGAGGCATGCAACATACAGTTGTTGAATGGATTAATAAAAATCTAGAGTTTAGGGTAAATGCTTAGAGCCCAAAAAAACCAAAGAATCTTTTTAAGATTAAATATATTTTACAATTTAATACAATTAAATATATTTACATTGTCACTGGTATCTATATAAACACAAAAATTAATCACTGTGTTGGTAGAAGCCTCACTTTCAATACCTCTTTATCTCTCATAAAAGAAGAAATTCCTGAAAAGGGGAAGAAAAGCCCGTCACCCTAGGCCGCCGCCTGGGCTGAAAGAACTACCTCTCTGTTCCTGAGAAAGGCTCTTCTGGCGCAGATCCTGCCCCGCTTAGACTCCAAGTGGCGGCACTGCCGGCTGAGTTCTTTCACCCCCAGATTCTCATCATCCTGCAGCCCCACTGCACGGTCAGTGACTTTAAGTTCCTCTGGACTTTCACATGGATCATAATAGACAACTTCATCCTGTTTATCTAGAAGCATAGTAATGATCTTTTAAAAACATGTTTTAGTATAAAAAAATAATGCATGCTTTTTTTAAATGTAAAGAAAGTAAAGCTCACTTGTAATCCCACCACCCAAGGAGAATCATTACTGACATTTATATATGAATGTGTATCTATGTGTGTGTAAACACACACACATGCTATACATATCAATTAGTAAACAGTTCAAAGAGAACATTTTTCATGTAATGGAAATATAATTTTAATGGCAACACAGTATTCTCTAATTTAAGCATTCTCTACTGTTAGGTTGTTCCAGTGTTCCATTATTACCAATTTCATGAACATCTCTGAATATAAATCTTTGTGTATATTTTTTATTACTTCCTTAGCAGATGAATATTTAAGGCTCTTGATAAATATTGTGAAATTGCTTTCCAGAAATGCAACTTAGATTCTACCAGCAGTATATCATTTAGGTGACTTAATGAAATTTAATCTTGATTAAATGTTGATATTTTTCTAAAAAATATACATGCTAACTGTACAAATTTAAGCCCTACAAAAGTACATAAAATAGAAAGTGAAATTTTCTTCCTTCCCCAAACCTCTAGAATCCCATTCCCAGAGGAAAACATGAACAACTTGACATGCATCCTTCCAGATTAACTTTTTCAAAATAGCTTTTTCCTACGTATGTAAAATCCTTACAGCCTGAATTTAATGTGAAGGATTAAATCAAATATTCAGGATCCATATGAAGGAAGTTATTAAGCTTGGAGGAACTTTAGGGGAAAAAAGACTTAAGTAAATGGAGAGACATACCATGTTCTTGGATGGGAAGATTCAAAATTGCAAAGATGACAACAATCTTCCCCAAATTAATCTCTAATTTTAAGCGCAATCCCAATAAAAATTCCAACGAGTTTTTTCCTTTTTTGTTTTGAATTTGCCAAAATGATTCTAAAGCTCATCTGGAAGAATAAAGGAGTGAGAAGTCAGAAAACTCGTGGGAAAGTAATGGGGGAGGTACCACTCTACCAGATACTAAAATGTACCTCTCCAAGGTACAATAATAGTGATACAGGGCCCAGAAGCCACTCCCAAATCAATGAAAGAAAATAACAATTCATAAATAGATCAAGATAAATATAATAATTCGGGATATGAGGCAGGTACTAAGTCACAGCAGTATGGGAAAATGTTTCAAAATCAGTAATTGGGACTTCTAACAATTTAGATTTCCCCTGGGTTAAAGAGTTAAATGTGGTTTTTTTAATCATAAAAATACTAAAAGAAAACATAAGTAAAATATTGATATAATTTGGGGATGAGGACTTTGCCAAGTATAATAACAAAAGCAGAGAGATTGATAGATGTGACTTCATGAACATTAAATATTTCTACAAGGCAAGAAAAAAACCAATAACAGGAAAAAATTACTTGCAATATATTACAAATAACAGAGCAACATCCTTTATATGGGAAGGGAATATTCCAAAGAAAAATGGGCAAAGACGAAGAACAGGCAATTAATAAAAGAAATACGAATTATCAGGAAACATACAAAATTGTGCTAAATTTCATGAATAATTTAAGAAATGAAAATGGAAAGGCATCATTTTCTTCTATCAAGTAAAAAAAATTTAAAAGAATCATGTAAGTATGGGGAAACAGCTATTTTCATGACCTGATGAGAGTGTCATTCTGTATAACCTATCCAGAGGGCCATTATGTAGTATGAAATGCAAAAATTATAAAATGATAGAGGTAAGGAAAAAAATGTATATCAAATGATCATTGTACTATTATTTTAATAGATGTGTGTCCTTGACCCAGTGATTCCATCTTTAGAAATTTATTCCAAGGAAATAATCTGCCTTACACAGAAAGACATGAGTATAGGAAGGTTCTTCACTACAAAGCTGTTAACACTACTGAAAAACTGGAAACCACAGTATATCCATACAATAGAATACTATGCAGCCATTAAAATTTTTGATGTTTTTATACTTACTGAAATGGAGAGACAGTTTTGTGTATTAAATGAAAAAGAGTAATACAGTTTTTTAAAAAATGGATATACAATTTTGGCTTAAAAAATATTTATATCACTATATAAAATAGGCTACAAAGCTCTATAGCAAATTATTATCACTAAGTATCTCTAGATGATGGAACTGGGGTAATAATAGTTTTCCTGTGTTTAACAATGAATATTATTTGAATAACAAAAAATACTTAAGAGAAACTTTATTTAGGAAATTTCAGTAGGTAATTTAGACAGTTTACAGGAAGTAATTGTTATTATGGTCTATATTTCCTTGCAGGAATAATTTAAACATTTTAATATATATACTTAAATATAAATCTTACCTTTTATAAGTCTTTTAATAGAGTCTAACTGTGTAACAAGCAGGATTTCTTCATATTTTAATATCTCAAACTTAACCTCATACAGTTCTAGTTGAACTTTGTAATACTGCATTTCTAATTCATCTACAACATCTACAATTTGTTCTTGTTCTGGAAGATCTTCCATCTTGTTTTCATGAAAAAAAAAATAAGACCAAGTTAAAATAATTAGTACATTACAAGCAGGCTTTAAAAGCATTTGAGCCATTTTCTATTCCTTGGTCAGTACCAAATATAAAAAAGAAAACAGAGAGGAAACACTTTTCATTTAATGAAACAAAAAATGCCTTATTCAGCATTTGCTATAATACTTTATCTCATCCTTGAAACATGAAAAACATTCATGATTTGAGAAAAGTGAATGTTCAGTAAGGTATTTACAGTATTTTCTGCTTTGAAGTCATAATATTACAGAAAGAAATTTAAGTCATGATCCTAGGATGAAGGACCTTTTCATTATTCTACGGTGTGCTAAGAATCGCCTGATCGATTCTAAAGTACATCACCTACTCCAGTACTGAGCTCAGCGTCATTCTCAAGTGAATTCGACAATGTATTTCAGAAACATCTTAACCAAAGGGAAGCTTATGGCCAACCTTCTGAGGCCTCTAAATTCCCATCTTCTAGAAGATGGTACTGAAATAAGTGAAAAAATGAAGTTTTTGAAGAATGCCTGGAAAGAAAGTTATGTATTTTTAAAACAAAGTTCCATATATCTTTATCTTACCTTTCCCTGAATTTCAGCTCTTTTGTGATTTAAACACAACTCTTTGGCTCTCATGAGTTGTAGAGTCTCTCGAGCTAACATCAGCTTGAGTTTGTCTAACCTGGGAGTTGCAGTGGCCCAGGCAGCCTGGCCAAATCTCTTCTCATCCTGTTCCATTTGTTTCCGCATTCCTGTTGGGTTATAATTAATAAAACAGAACAGAACTGCAACTCATTAGGAAGGGCAAAGTTATGTTGAGCTAAGTCTTTGTTCACTGGCTCCCATATTATCTGCAAAATATCCTTCTTAGAAGAAAAGTTGTTTTATTTTATTGACTTTTTATTGTCCCCAAAATAATACATAGTCATTGGTATAAGATTTTATTTAGATACTTCACTTTAAATAAAGAATATATCATAACTCTCACCTACTTGAGGCGCTTGCTTCTTACATTTTGGTGCATATACTTCCAGACTGTTTTTATATCTAGCTAGACAGACAGGCTTATGTAGACAGTTTGACAAAAAAAAAAGAAAAATCTACAGGATCATCATTGTTCTTTGTATCTTATTTCACTCAATATGTCATGGAGAATCATGCTTGACAGCTACGTGGTGTTCCACTTTATGAATGCACTGCTATTCAACCAATTAATTGATAGACACGAAGTTGTCTACTTGGGGTTTTATCAGCCATGACGAAGACGAGACAAAAGCCCTTTGCCCTTCCCACGAGGCCCCAGGTCTCACCCCTGCCTTAGCCTGTCTTTCCTGCCACATTCTCTGCACGTCTGTGCTGCACAGCCCAGGCCTTCTCCAGGTCGCTCACCCTTCAAGCTCCCTCCCGCCAGAGGGCCTTTGGACACGCTAGTCCTTCTGTCCGGAACAGTCTTCCCTCACTTTTGTGCTCGCTGCACATCCATTTTCCCTTCAGCTGGCGGGGTGAGTGCCACTTCTGAGGCCATCACTGGCCACACTGACTGGGCCCAGTTTCCCTGCCATAGGCTCTCAGGGCCCCGTGTTTCTCTTATTCTGTTCCCACTGCCATTTTCCAAGTGTTTGAATGAATACAGATTAAGATTTCTCTCCCCTCCCCAGACGTATCCTTATATTGAATCCATAGCTCCTAGAAAACAGAGTGCCTGCTATTCAAGAGGCACTCAAATGTTTCCGAATAAAGAGAAAATTACATGTATCTTAGTACAGAATTTAAAATTATTACCTGCTAGTGCTTTAACTGTTTCTTTGAAATAATTCACTGTAATATCTTGAATAGAGACTACAGCTTCTTCAGCCCGTCTGGTCCATTCTTTGGCTTCCTTCTGCAAGGCAACTATCCTTTTAGGACCCAAATCCTCCTCCTCCAGGGACTTCTATGGAAAGAAGGGAAAACTGTATTAGTAAGAGAAAATAGTAATGTGAAGCCATTAGGAAATTGAAAGGAAATTGGTCACATGGACTATTCCATCTGCTTTTATTACTTCTACTTAGTTAAATTTCATTCATTCAGCAGTTTCCTGTTGAGTATGAAAAAGCTTGGTGCGACTTAGAAAGCAAAAGGATACTCTGGGGCATAAATAAATACAGTGAAAACCTATTTTCAGTTTGCATTACTAGAATAACTTTTTCTAGAGAGGAATGAGGTTATGTTTCTCTATTAATAATAATAAACAATTGTTTAAATGAGATTTGTGTTGTTAAGCACTCGGGTTAGGGCCTGGTACATGGCATTCAAGCGTTAGCCATTGCTGTAGTTCTTTTAGGGACATGGCAGGAAGC